CAACCTATAGAGAGCACTTGATCCTTGCGCAGATCAAGGGGGAGCTACACCCTTGCGCGGGTGCTCCAACGAGGACTAGTGGGGAGTGGCGACTCTCCGATATCTCGGTAAATCATCGCCGCGTTCTTCCTCCTCTCTTTACATTGGGCATTTACCTTGAGCAATTCAATTCTTGTCATTTACTTTCTTAGAATTGCCATGCTAGAGTAGGTTTGAAAAATAGGTTGCAAGTCTTTTGTGTGGTAGAACAATTAGAAACACTTTTTAGGCACAAGGAGTTAATTAGGCCAACCGTAGGATTTAATTATTGCAAAGAAATTTAGAATTAGCCCAATTCACCCCCTCTTGGGCATCTTGAATCTTTCAATTGGTATCAGAGCCTCATGCTCACATATTTAGGCTTAGCCGCCTAGTGAAAGATGTCTCACGGGGATGGACCTCCTCCTATCTTTGAGGTGGACGATTTTCCTTATTGGAAAATTTATATGGAGGCGTATATAGAAGCTCTAAATGTTGGAATACTTAGAGCCGCCTCACAAGGTTTCCCAAAACCTCGGGATGCCGCACACCCACAAGGCGATGAGTTGAACTGAAAAATGGAATGCAAATGCTAGAAATATCATATTTAGAGGCCTTTGTAAAGATGTGTTCAACCGGGTGAGAAACCACTAAAGACGCCCATGCAAAAGAAAAACTTAAAATATGGAGGTATTCCTGCGTTCTTTGTTGTTTCCCAACGGCCCAGGTAGATTAAACCAAGTCGAATGAAAAAACATGTGCCAAAAATCATGAACAAGTTGCATTGGAAGTCTGGAACACATGTTTCTTCCATAGATTCATGAATAGATGCTAATTTTGCTAACCTCTTATCATGCTTGATGTTTTATATATGAAGTATAATTGTTTCGAGGAACATGTAACAAAGTCATTGTCGTTTAGCTGGTTAGGACGCGTGAGACTTAACTCAAAGGCCTGGGTTTAAACCCCAGTGCTAAATCTTTTTTTGTTACATTTTTATATATCTCACTTGTAGTCTAGTGTGTTTTATAATATTTGTAGTAGCCCCCTGCCGGGAGTTTTTACTTAATCAAGCAATGTTTCACTCTTCCTTTTGTTTTATATATGAAGTCTGGAGCTACTAAAAATGTTATAAAACACTAAAAAGATTCAGCGCTGGGTTCGAACCCAAGCTTTGAGCTATGTCGCGTCCTAACCAGCTGAATCGCAATGGTGTTGTTGCATGTTTTTCGAAACAATTATATTTGTTTTATTTCAAACGCCAAGATTTATAGGGTAACAGCTCGAAGCCAAGATCTACGGCGCCGAGGCCTTGTCCACGTCGGTGCCAGGTCACCGCCACGTCCGACGCCTCGCCAAGACCTCGGCGCCATTGGCCATAGCGCCGAGACGTGTTTTCTCGGCGCCAAAAGCCATGGCGCCGAGGTCAGGGTCCATAAACAAAAATCAAACCACCAGGAGTCTATTTGTGAATATTTTTCAAAAAAAAGGGCTAAAAAATAAAAAAAATCGACGGAGTCGCCCGTCGCTGTACGCGTAGGGAAAAAATTCAGTGCATCCTGGATGCACACACCGTCAATGCAAACACATCCTGGATGTGGGGGCACGTGTCCACCGATGCCATCCGATGGCAACAGCCCGCCAACCACGGATGAGAGGCTAGAGGCTCGAGCGGAGCACGCGAAAGCCAAGTAAGCCTAGAAGACGAGAGCGGAGGTTGGAAGCACCAGATGTTATGTTTTGTGCACGTGGCGGTAGATTAGGGCGTGTATGCACCGGCCCTGGGTGGATACGGTATCCAAGCAAAATTTTTCCACGCGCAGAGGATGTCCTACGGCGTACGTTTGCTTGTACGTGCCGCTGCGTGCGCCTGGGGAGGGACCAAAGGTAATTTGTGGAGCAAGAGCAACAAAGGGCAATGTTGCTACACATTCTCATCTCGTACCTACGGTTCAAACCGCTGAAACCGTGAAACCAGCCCAATCCAACCCGTAGCGCTTTGCTGCTGCTGCTGTGTGGAAACACATGAAACCAGACCAACCAGCTCTAAACCGCCATCTACGGGGGCTGGTTTCAGTTAACAGGCAAAACCGAGAGACGAAACCATGGATGAACACCCCTAGCGTCACGGCTTGGCACTGGTGCAATATGAGGTCCAGTTTGTGTCACACCTCAATCCGGAATTTTGAATTTTGGGCGTGAATATAATATATAAATCAAAATAAATTATTTAATGGTTTTTATAAAAAAGAATGCCAAGCTTTAATTAGTTTGTTGCTCAATTGATAAATGAAAATGGCTTCATAAAAATTTCCAAATTAATTTTCCTAGGGTGTTGCATTTATGCAGATTTCATTATTTTAATTGATTGAAAAAGGGATTTCTAAAAAGGTTCGGTTAGGCCACAAATAGGGTTTTCTTTTTCCCCCAAAAAATATTCAATTATGTTTCAAAAGTAGTTCTCAAAATGGGTTAAAATATATGTTTCAATATTAAAGTAACGCTTGTTTTGTTCATAAACCCGAGTACTATAGTTTGTCAGCGCTCCGCCTGCTCCACTCCACGCGAGAAGCCACGTAGTCATGCCAAATACCGCCGCTTTGCCTAGCTCCATATAGGAAGCACTCTTCCGGCTATCCCTTTCGCACTACGTGTGGTAGTGAAAAAACCCGTTATTCACTGATTGCCAATCAGAGGCATAGTTTGGCAGCGCGCCTCCCACGCCCCTCTGCATCATTGACAAAGGAGGCGAGGTCGCCACTCGTCCTGAGGCACTCGACCTCGACGGACCCTCGCTCTAGCCTCCACGCCCCTCTCTAACTCGCCTCTCCACCCACACTCCTCTATGCTGTCCAGCTAGAGCCAATGAGGAAGTGCTATCAAATAGTTTTTTCCGGGTGGGAGCTAGCAGAGCCGGAGGCCAGAGAAACAGGAGTTGGAGCCATTGGGAAATGGGGGGAGAGAGAGCTTCCAAACTGGCCATGCGACAATGGCGGCCGCGACCGAGAGCTTGGCTTAGTTGTCTGGCTGCACTAACAGAGGGGCCCTGGTGGCTGCTGCCACCGTCCCTCGGGGCATTGTTATCGGGAATAAGACATGCTAGCTATAATCACCGAGCAATATATATGATATGGTATCGTACCAACATATGTACTGTGCTTCACCACAGCCAGTGATCTAGGTACCATGTCTTCATCATGATTTCTAATGTGATCTATTGGCTCTATGTACTCTTGGATTTACAACACACTATATACACCTTTAATTATGTTTTTTAATTGCTTATTTGTTGGGAAGGATAGGAGTTCAACAAGGACGCAACCAGTGGCGGACCCAGGAATTTTCTAGAGCCTTGGTGAATATAATAATGGTGAATAAGTTCATATAAATATATCGATGGCCACTCATATAAATTAGATTGTGCACATGTCAATAATTCAAAAGCTTGTGGTAAGATTTTATTAGTCTTACTAAGATGAAGCAAATATATTGAACACTAACCTTATGCAAGTGAGCCAATTTTTTTGACAAAATGGTGGCAATTTGTTTCTGGAAAACAAACAGGCCCTATGACACTAAAATTAAGTATACGTTATGCTCCAAAAAGAAGTCCAGTATACATTATGTAAGCTCAAAGGTACGCGCCAGCTGTATTTTTTTAAAGTCTTTGAGTTTTGAAACCATCGAAGAATGATAATTTTACTAAGTAGTAGAAGTTAAAAGTCAATTATTAACCTGTACTAGTACATCATGATAGCTGAGTTTCTGCTACATATATATCACTTCGTGAGACTTGAGAAGCAGTAACCTGAGTGATTGATTTAGTAGAGCCTACTAACCAAAGGTATAGTACAGAAATGCGGTGCAGCTGTGGTCGCTGGGACAGGCATCCTCACGTCTGTCAGTGAGACAGTCCAGGCAGGTGCCCAGGGTCGCCAGGCCCTAGGTCCGCCCATGGACGCAACGGTGTATTTATAGAAGTTGTTGATGTTAGACTTAAGCTACTGATGGGATTAAAAGGCCCTGGGTCGCCCATGGACGCAACCGAGGCAAGGGTTTGTTTGCTTCTACATACGTTAGGTGTTGTCTTTGTCGTGGGTTACTGTGTGGCTACTTGTCCTTGTTTAAGAGTAGGTTGTTGTGAACATACCTTAGTCGTCGTAATTGCATATTTTCTATTTTTTTTGCTATAAACTCTTTTTCTGGGTTGTTGTTTGTCTGGACCTTCTTTTCTATTAATACAATTCACTTCTCTTTGGTTGGTTTAAAAACTATTATTATTCTCACTGCATGTGGTTGATTACTATTTTGAACTGATCATAAAAATGAGACGACAAGCTTCATTTGCATGATATGAGCACGAGATCAACATCAACATGATAGGAATTTGTCGTAATAAATTCAACATTATTCTATAACCTTTTCAAAAAAAGAAAACATTATTCTATAAAGTATTAACAGAAATAAAAGTCAAATATATACAATTCATGGTCGACTTCTCTCTCTTTCTTTTCCGGTTCATTTTGACTTTTTGAGTTTGTTGTTGACATTTTAGATCCGCAAATCAGTATTTCCTCGGTTGCCACTCTGTACATAACACCTCAAATTGTCTGGCGCTCAAATTAATTTTCTATTTTCTTTGAAGAAAAAAAAACTCCAGATTTACTTGGTCAAACGTCGAAGCCCAAAGAAAACATGCCAACCGGGTGCCCCACTCCGAGGCACGTGATCAGTACTCCCCCAAGCACGCGAAGGCAGCCACCAGAGCCCAGCCGCCACCGCGAGTACACCACCGAATCCTCGACGCCGCCGCCCGCCGCCGCCGCCGCCGCTTCCAACTAGTTTCGATTCGTTCCCCATTCTCACACCAGCACACCGCCACCGCCGCGCTGTGCGGACCATCCCAAGAGCGAGCTGCATTTGCCACCGAACCGGAGGGGAATCGGAGGCGCGAGGCGTGGATCCAACCGCCAGCGCCGACCATGTCGAGCCGGACGTGCCCGCCTTGGTTGAAGAAGCTGAAGCGGATTATTGGACGGCGCCTCCGCTCGGGAAGTCTCATCCCTGAGGCCGCGAGCCTACTCTGCGACGAGGTGCTCCCATCGATCCAAAGGCATTCCCCGCCGCCGGCCGTTTCGGCAGCGGTGGACGTGTGGAGGGCCGACCGCCGCCCTTCCTGGGAGCTGGAGCAGTTCATCGGGAAGTGTTACCGATCGGGGGACCTCGGCCCCGAGGACGCACTCGATCTATTCGACGAATTGCCTCCTCAAGCGAGGCCCGGCTCCGTTTATGCCCTCACCCAGCTCCTCACCGTCGTCGCTCGCGCCTCGGTCTCCTCCACCCTGCGCGACGGCCCTGCTCTCGCCGTGTCCCTGTTCAACCGCATGGTCAAGAAGGTGGCTCCAGACATAGCTACCTACAACATCCTCATCAGTTGCTGCTGCGGTGCAGGATGCTTGAATCTCGGCTTCACCACATTGGGCCAAATCATTAAGACGGGATTGAGGCCACAAGCCATGACCTTCACGCCCCTGCTCAGGACCCTCTGTGCTGAGAAGAGGACGAGTGATGCGGTGAATATTGTGGTCAGGCGGATGCCTGAGCTCGGCTGCACCCCCGATGTCTTCTCCTACACCACACTACTCAAAGGGCTATGTGCTGAGAAGAAATGTGAAGAGGCTGTCGAGCTGATCCACATGATGGCTGAAGATGGAGACAACTGCCCACCTGATGTGGTGTCCTATAACACTGTAATCGATGGCTTCTTTAAAGAGGGTGAGATACGGAAAGCTTACACCCTGTTTCATGAAATGCTTGATCATGGGATCCCGCCAAATGTTGTGACCTGCACTTCAATCATTGATGGCCTATGCAAGGTTAAAGCAATGGACAAGGCTGAGGAGGTCCTTCGGCAGATGATTGACGAACATATTATGCCTAATTGTACTACATATAACAGTCTGATCCATGGATACCTCTCTCTTGGACAGTGGAAAGAGGCAGTCAGAATTCACAAAGAAATGTCTAGAGATGGGCAACGGCCAGATGTTGTTACTTACAATATGCTGATAGACTGTCTCTGTAAATCTGGATGGTGCGCAGAAGCTAGAGATATCTTTAATTCTATAATTCAGAGCGGTGAAAAACCCAATGTTTCCACCTATAGAAGTCTGCTTCATGGGTATGCTACCGAAGGCAATCTTGTTGAAATGAACAATGTCAAAGATTTGATGGTACAAAATGGAATGCGACTTGACCTTCATGTCTTCAACATACAGTTGTATGCATACTGTAAATGTGGAAGGCTAGATGATGCAATCCTTACATTTAACAAAATGCAGCAGCTCGGATTGATGCCAGACATAGTCACTGTAACACCCTAAAAATGACATTCTTTTAAAATAGCTAAATATGATTTATTTATGCAAATTGTGAGCCTTAAAAGATAGGGAAATAATAAATTTTGTGGAATTAAAATTTAAAAATAAGGTTAGAAACCTTTTTGATGCATACATGCTGCTGCATATCATTTTGTGAATGTTAGGAATTTATTAAATATTTTAAAAAGAATTGAAATTTGAATTTAAAAAGGGATTTGGAAAATAGTAGAAAAAAAGGAAAAAAATCATTTTTCCCTCTCCCTTCTTGAACTTCGGCCCGCAGGCCTTCACTCCTTCACCTGCAGCCCAGTTCTCCTCGCCGTGACTCACCTCCCAAAGCCATTGCTGCCCACCACCAAAGTAGAGCAGCTGGCCAACCGCCGCCCACGCTCCCCAGCCCCGCTGGCGCCGGGCCCGCTTGTCGGCGCCGCGTCCTCTTCAGCGGCTCTGGCTCGGAACCGCGCCATGGCCAAGGGCTTGCAGCAAAGAACCGTCACCACGACGGCATCGTGGGAGCATCCCCCCCGCTCCTCGGCCCTGTTAAATAGCAGCGAGCCTTCCCCCAGCGCCCGGCTGTTTCCCGTTCTCTCTCGCTCATGGGTGCACGGAACCACTGCAATGAAGAAGACCGAGATTCGCCGACCTCGCCTTCGCACGGACCGCCGTCGCCGAGCTTCCCCGTCCTCCTTCTTCCCCGCGGTGAGAATCCCCTGGCCTCCCTCTATCTTCCGGTACCCCTACTTTCGTTGTTCTTGGCTTCTTGAGCCCTGGTCATGAAGCTCCATGAAGCCTTGGCCGTCGGCCATGGCGGCCACCGTGCTACCCGCTGTTCCCAGCCGCCGTATCGGCATGGCCGAGACCCCCTTCTTCCCACGCATACCCCAGTGCGCTCGGTTTTTCATTTGGTGAACCCTAGCCCCCTAACCGCGCGCGTCCGAGACCTCCACGCCGTCGGCAATGGTGCCTCACCGCCGGCGTCACTGTTCCGGCCGGCCACCTTCATCTCTCCCTCCTCTGATCAAATCCGATCCGTTCATTTTAAATCCAACGGCCGAGAACATCCGATACCCCTTCGCGTGGCTGATTTGCAAAAGAGACCCTGAACTTTTCTAAGTCCTAACCCGCAGTCCAAGGCGTAGATCCACGAATGTGCAATCTCATTTGGAAAACGTAAACTTCACGGCTTAAGTCAAAAATACGTTTTCAGTATTTACAGAAATGCCATTTGAACTGTTTCGCTTATAAAATTATCGTTTTAGCTCCAAATTGATCCATTCAAATCGCGTTAACTTCGTAATTTCATAAGCTACATGTTAGAACTACTGTTAGTCAAGTTTGGAACTTTTTAGTTTCATGATTAGATTTAATTAAATATGTCGCTATAGGAAAACCCGTTTAAATCGTAACTTTCGCTTTTTAGCTCCGTTTTTTATGAACTTCGCGTTGACGTGATCGTAGCGAGACGTAGATTATTTTTACAAACATTTTATCTTGTTTTCTATACTGTTGGTGTACTGTTCTAATAATAGGAAATGTTTGCTTTGCATGAATGCTTTTGGAATGTTGAATGTTGCCGTGTTGGTCGCGTTCAGACGGTGAGGAAAACGTTGGAGACCAAGAACTCTTGACGACCAGCCAGAAACAAAGAAGAGTTTGTGAACCAAGGCAAGTATAGCATGGGCCTACCTTGATGTCCTATTTCACTTTAATCAATTACTCATGTGCATGTGTCTAATTTTGATAACCCTAAGGACATTCTAGACATTTGATGACTTGTTCCTTGACTCCTATTGGGTAATTGCATATGGGTAGAATGCTAGTGCTCTAACTGAACATGATCTACATGATGATGAATGAATCTAAGGAACTAAAAGTATAACCTGATTTATAACAACCGTTCCATAGGGCGAAGGTGCAAATGATCTGTTGATCATGTTGCACTCGGCCCTCCATAAGGACTTATCTGTCGCAAAAATTTGGGATGCCGATTACTGGCAACCGTGAGAGTCATATGGCTCGACTTTAGCTCGATAATAGAACATTTTCTAGCTAGTTAGAGGTTACCTTTTTGGCGCAAATGGGGCTTGCCACGTTGGGTATTGGGGTGCCTCTGTTTCCTATGTGTATAGCCGCTGATGGATATGTGCCATAGGAAAGGGGTTCCTACATCTGCACGCCAAGGAAACCTATGCCCTAACTTGTTAGAGAAACCTATGAAATGGCTTCATAGTGTACCCTGCCCGCTCACCTTGGTAGTGACATGGGAGTAATTAACCCGGGCATATGGGGATCACGACTCGCGGTGAATGTACACCACCTCTGCAGAGGGTAACAAACTGTTATAACAGCCGTGCTCACGGTCACGAGCGGCCCGGAAAGCTCACAGAATAAATGGGTCACTCATTGTTGTTCATTTGTGATGGTTTATGATGATATGATTCAAATGATGCTGATATCTGATTAAGTGGGTTTAAATGGGAGCTTAAGCATAACTTGATGATACTTGATAATAAAATCTTGACTTACTAAAAGTGCTAACTGCAGTAAACCAGTGTCAACCTTTTTGAGCCTCATGAATCCCCATGTTATCTTGTTAAGTACGAGAAGTAATTACGCTTGTTTATTTTCTTTATTTGGATAAAAATCCCGGATGGGTAACAGATGACAACGTGTATGAGGAGTTTCCTGAGAATTATTAGGCTTATGGTCAACCAGTTGACCTTCCCTATGATGGTGTTCCACGAGAGAGAGTTATATTTTATTTTCCATTGTGATGTATAAGACTAAGTTATGTTATTATTGTGATGTAAGATACACTGTGATGATACTCTTTCTTAATTTGTCAGCTTGTGTGTGTGATTGATCCCTGGGCACACATGAGTTTAGTGCATTCAATTTTATCCTTAAAATTGGGTGTGACAAATTGGTATCAGAGCCGTGTTGACTGTAGGACGCAAGTCTAGTTAGAAAACGGTCGTTTTAGCATCTTTGCTCCTCTGGTTTCTTGCTTACTGTCTTATTCTTGTTATTTTATAAAAATATTTATGCTTTTCATACCTCAATCTATTATTTAAAATTGTTGATTCTAATTCTATCTCACTTTAAATCCATAGATGTCTCATAATCCAAGATCGCTTTCGCCAAGACCTGCATGGCTATCGTGCCATGTTCACCCGCGTGCCCACACAAAGGAGAGGGAGATTGTGATCATCTCCACATGACGAGGAGATGGCTACACCGACGCCTACACCTGCTCCTACACGATCCTTTGTGCAGTCTATCCTGTTGTAGCTACACCGAGGAGTCGACGGCTACTTCCTACACCTGCACCATCCCGCTTGTTCCGTGGTGGAGGAGGGATTGGCTGGAAGTGCAAGTACTACTTCAAGCCAGCCCCAGAGACGACCTACTACCACACCCTCCTCACTCACGTCTTTGGATGACTACTACCCCGACTTGCACGCCTCCTCCATCACCTACCACTACGCCGAGTACCGGCATCCATTGGAGGCTACCTTCGGAAGGTAGAGCTGGTGGTCACCGCTTGGAACGATATCAAGAATGGACATGAGGTGGAGAGGCCCATCGTGTGCCCCTGCCGGGAGAGCCCATGCTTTGGATGGCATGGAGGATGCAGACCTGTAACGCCTACATCCACTACCATGGTCGTCGCTTTGAGGCCATGAGGAGGATCACTTCAGGTTCCTTCCTCGAAATGATCATGAGGGGTTTGGCAGGTTTTGGCTCCACCAGAGAATGACCCAACTCTGGAAGCAGCAGTGCAAAGCATGTCCACGCTATGCGAGGAGTGGACGAGGAAGTCAAAGGAGAAGGCTGCGTGCATCTCGGAGGGCTCGAGAGCGCCTCCGAAGCAAGTGGATGAACTTGAGCACAACTTGGACAGCCTTCCATCTACAAGAAGAAGCGCCGGTCCTTCACCATGATTGACACCGCTCCATAGGTGTTAGGTGCCTTGATCTAGATTACCACGTCGTTAGTTCGTGTTTCTTATTTAGTCTTGTTTGGTCTTGTGAACTTGGATGATTAGATGTTTAATTTGTGAACTTGATTGATTTGGTATTTTGCTTGATTGCTGGAAGTTTGTGGGCATGTCCACAACTTCCTTAGATTGGAACTTTAAGTTTAGAATGAAATCTTAATGCAGATGTTTCGTTTTATCTTATCTCTACTGTGCTGATTTCTAGAGCAGCCTGTGTTCTTTATCTGATATCTCGAAATCTGGGCTGTCGAAAATTCTGAAATTTTTGTGGAGATAACTAGACCTCTGTATCTTTCAAATGTCTCTGGAATCACGTCATTAGCTGTTCAGGTTTCGGAGATCTAGCTGACACAAGTTGGTGTTCCTGCGCTGTCTGGAACCCAGAACAGTTTCGGTTTAGCTCTACTTTTGACTATGTGTGAGTCAGAATCTGTAAAAGTGATGTAAATGAAAGTTGTAGCTGGTCTCCTAAGCTTTCTAACAAATCTTGGTGCACCTCTGTTGGATCTCTGAAACTCGAGTTATAACAGTTTTACTGAACTGCTGAATTTGAATCTTGTCCAGAAAATTCTCAGCAGTGTTTCTTATCTTTTGTAAGCTTTCTATAATTGGAAAATCTCTAAATTTTGCACATTTGTTGGAAAACAGATGGCCGCAAGAGGAGGAAGAGGCAGAGGCCGTGGTCGTGGACGTGATGCTCTCATAAATCCACCACCGCCACCTGTGACCATGGAACAGATATTGGGAATGCAAGCGCAGCTGATGCAAGCTATGATGCAGCGCTTGGACAATGAACCTGCAAGAGGACCACCGCCTATTCAGGTCAGAGATAAGCATGGAGAGTTCATGAAAGGTCGACCACCGGTGTTCACTCATGCCTCAGACCCTATGGAGGCTGATGATTGGTTGCGTGCTGTGGAGAAGCAACTGAACATAGCACAATGCAATGACCTTGAGAAGGTGTTGTACGCTTCCGGGCAACTCC